AAATTATTGATTTTACACATACAATGTCCTTTGTCCGTACGCAGCAGTCTCAACGGAAGCTGTTCCCTGGTTGGTACTGCTGGAGGGCACGGAACACTTCAAGTTTGCGCTGCAGGCTTCCCGTTTCATTCAACTTTTGTGAGAGGAACTACGCTTTGGACTTTGCATAAGATAATTTAGAAATTCTGTTCAAAGTTGCAATGAATTAGCAACTATGGTGAACATCCAAGTCGAAAAAGATATTGTATGGAACTGGAGAGGGTAATCGAGAATTTACCGTTTTTGTGTGAGAGTATCAATTATTCTCAAGACAGAAAGGTCTTGGAAAAATAATTCATCAGTTTATAAATTACCAAAAAAAAAACATTTTTTTTCAATGTTGTTACACAAATCACAATCAGGGCCCACTTGCACAAACTTGCTCTTTATTATACTAAAATGGGCTATAAAACTGCATAGCCAAAAATGTTCTACAAATTCATACTAAAAAAATTCGACATTTTGAGGAAAATTTGTGGAATTTTTCCAAACTACTTATACAGTTTGAACCTTTTTTTATGAAAAAAAAAAAAAAATAACATGTGAAGACTTGTTTGAGTCACTGTATGTAATATTTACAGCCTATAATTATACACCAAAACACATATTCCTAAAACCACACGTACATAAATTCATAGCCACACGTACATACATACATGCGTAAATATGTATGTATATAGTATAGATTCATATAAGATTACCGATTCTCGGCACCTTCGCGCAAACGAGTAAAAATACTAATTTTCCGTCTACTCTGAACTAATTGGATTGACTACCAGCTGTTGCTTGTTTCCATTTATCTCACAATTCTCTCTTACTCAGGAGCGCACAATTCAGATAAGAAATTATCATCAATTCAAAAGCAAACCCAAAACAGTTAAGGCCCGTTTACATACAACTTTGGCGTTGCGTTGGCGTTGGCGTTGGCGCGTCGCTTTGACAGCTGACTATCAATACAAGCATTTATATGAAAGTCTTCGCATAACTCTCAACTTATCGAGTGCGTCTTTCGTCAGCTGTGCCAAATAATCAAAATTATATTAAATAAATTTCCTTTCTAATCAAATGCGGACAAGAAATATAGTTTTTAATGCAATTATGGATATAAAATTTTGATTTATATTCCGCTATCATGTTAATTTGGTGACCAAAGTATTCGCTCTTAAGCGTTCTTCGCAGCAAGCACGGGCGTTACTCGCGCTGCTGTCAAAGCGACGCCAGCGCCAGCGCAACGCCAAAGTTGTATGTAAACGGACCCTTACATTACATGTACATATGTTGGTGAATGTAATCTACAATACAGTTAAACAAAAAAATGCATGTTTCTCCAGGTTTGCTAAGAAAGTATCGAGTCAAAAAATTCAATAAAATCTAACGTAAACTGTGAAACTTTTAGTTAAAATTTGCTCTTCGGAACTGCTCAAATAAATTATTCTAGCCATAAAGGGCGCGCGTTCCTTTTTGAAGAGATCACATGCTGATTGCTTTGATTTCTATCAGCTACACTCTTTACGGTTATTTATAAATGTATATGAATTCAGTGAGAAGAGAAGGCCAAATCCTGATAAAAAAAACCTGAAAAGTAAAGAGGGCAAGAATCTAGTGAGCGGTAGACAATGCTCTCCAAAATAATTATACTACCTACATATGTACATTAGGGTGTCCCTCAAAATTTAACTTATTAAATTTCTTCGGAAACGGATATACACTGTTAAGAAAAAACCCTTTTTTCTACATTTTTTTTTTGTAATGTTGCTTTGACCAAGGCTTGAATTCAGGCCCTGCGGAGTGAAAGTCATCAATGTATTTATATATTACAAAGAAAGGGCGGATAATACAAAGAAATTGGAAATTTAATTCTTGCAATTTAGATTGTCGAAACGAGTGCACCCACCATTCTTATCAGTGAAGTAAAAAAATATAAAAATAAAGACACTAGGACAAAGCAGGACAATGGCAGAGAAAGTGCTCATTGCTCTTTACCTTCTCCTTGAATTGCTACCTTCGAAGAAGTATTATTGCACTGTAGATATCAAACCGAAGCCTGATTTTCAGAGTAGACGATGATGGAGTATTTCAGCTTAGAAGACACTACAGTACTCCGTTTAACGCAGTTTTAGGCTTAAAATTAGTTTTCTGAATAGATATTACTGCCGACTTTATTATTTAAATAATAACCATGGATGAAAATTTTAACGGGGCTGGAGACTAGCTGTTTACACTTCACCATACGCTCCTACGGTGCCCCTTTTTAATTGTTCAATTTATAATCGAAAACGTAGTTATTCACTCGATTTATGTCAATAGGATTACTCTCTGCAGCTGGTAATGTTTGCATATTAGTTTGTTTTCACAAAAACATTTTCCGTTTTTCCCCAGTTTATTGATTTTCCGGATTAATTTTTGAGTTTTTTCTTCCATACAAAGTAGCATGATAAAAACATAACAATGTAAAACCATTGAGAGGCAGTCTAACGTTTGCCAGCAATATAATTCAAAAATTACCCAACCAGCAAAATCATCGTAAACGAGCTCGTAACTGGGTACTTTCTCGAAAACAACCGGCTAAAAAGTCGTTTATGAGAGCCATTTACGATGCATTTTCGAGTACTTTTTCGTTTGAAATTGTCGAGCGCCTACGAACAGTCGTAAACGGATCGAAAAAGCATTCGTATGCGAATATTATATATTATAAAATATTGTGGTTCAAGAAAAATTTTCAAAAAAATGAAAATTTGTGCTGGCAATTTACTAGAGCCTCTTTCTATTACTTTTTTTTTTGTTTTATCGTTTACGAGCCTTTCTCTAACTTTTCGCCGATCGAGAATCCTCGTAAAACATAATGTTCATAAAAAGTACGTTTTCTGGCTGGGTAAAAACTCAAACTCGCACACACATTCTCATTTTCAATCTCAAACCATAACAATTGTGTACGATTTCATTTCTTTGTTTTAAATTTATGTAATGTTTTTATCATGCAAAGTAATATGTTCTAAAAGTGTTCTACATACATATATTAAAGTAAAGGCATTTCGAAATTACATACGTTTTTCTGATTAACTTAGTCTGTTTATCATATTTTTAACTAATACTTTCGATCTTAAGTAAAAATAAGTTCTAAATTAATTGATTTTTGGCTTTTCCTGCAAATCGCAAAAAATTCTCAGAATTTTGAGTTGTAAAAATACAGCCCGGGGACCCATAAAAAATCTTTAGTATTGAAATATGGTGAAATAAACAAATTGGGTTTTTTTATTGGAAGTCTTGTGAAGAGAAACAGAGTTTTCCAATCGAAAAATACTGATTTTCAAGAATTCTATGTCAATTCTATGAAAACCTGATTTTTACAATGTAAAATACATGGAAAACTTTGAAGGCTTTGACCGACCTCTAAATATTTTTTGATTTCAAAATAAAAAAAAATTATAGTTTGAAAAACTAAAAACGTCGCTATCATAATTTCCATTCGTACTGTCATCAGGTATGTAACTTGAGAATAGAAATCGCTGCATCTTTTAGGCGCATCAATATTACATAGTTACATCCCGAGCTTCTAAAAAGGGAGGTAAAAAAGGGATATACTTTGCTCAGTATTGAACAGTCCTAGAGGGTGGTAGCATTAAAATTCCGAATAAACTTTTTTTGGACCACCCTACTGTACATATATACATATGTATATGTATATTGAAAAAGGCAATATAAAAGTATTTACTGTCCTTGTATTTTTATTTATTTCCGTTTTTAATTTAGCACTTAGTACGAATGCTTAAAAATCGGCAGAAAGTTATCACTAGATAACCACGTAATCTGGAGTGGATATTTGAAAGTCATTTTTCGATTACTGAGAAGTCATTCCCAAGAAGATGAGGAAGAAATTTGAAAAAACGCATTTGAATCTTCACTGCCAAGATTTTGACCGAATAGCATTGTTAGCTTCGGTCAGATTTTTCCCAGCGTTCGAGTTATATTCGGTATCTGTGTGTAAATAAATTTTTTTAAATACATAAATCCACGAAAAACAAATATTGTTTTAGTTGTACTTAATCTTTACTTGATTTTATTTATATACAATATGACCAATCGAGGCTCTAAGCCTTTTTAATGTTATTACGGATTTAGCTGTGAATATTAAAGTAGGGAACCGGCAACTAAAATTAGAAAAGAGTAGGGAATGAGAATTCATATGCATTAGCTAAAGAGCATACCAATATCTGAGCGACAGGTTAAGGTCCAAATGACTGATAACCAGTGTTGCATGTATTTGTGTATCTCTGAGTCTTACACTCCGACTATCTCTGGCAATGTCTTTGCTCTGTACTTAATTAGCCTCAGATATATTTTCACATACATACATATGTATGTTTGTACCTACCCTGCAGAGAACGGCCAAACCGGTTAGAAAAAATACTAGTTCATTAACTAGTATGTGCCTACCAGTTCGACAATTTCGAAAAACTTAAGCGTTCAGCGACAACTGACATAAGAAAGATAATAAAAAATATTTCTTTTTTATTTATTTAAAAATTACAAAAAACCCCTAAATAAAAAAATTATCAAAAAATAAACTAATTAAAAAATAAACAAAAATTTTCCCTGCGCCAGGACTTGAACCTGGGACTTCAGGCATTTCACGCGAGTGCTTTGCTCTGTTGGCCATTGCGACTGTTGGAGCGCTGCGAGCAAAAAGGTATACTTATGCTTTTCACAGGCGATGAGTTGGCAGACTATCCCGTCAACTAATGCACAGCCTGCCAATTGACATCTCGAAGGACATCGCCATGTTGGGCTGAAACGCAAACTGGTAGAATTCTAGTTCACAACTAGTAGCTTTCCCTGCAGGGTTCTTTTCTACTGAGAGATACTCAACCATGTGTTCTGGTGGCACGATTGCGCATCTCTTCGATCGCTGTTTGCCGTGGTTAATCGTCTCAGCATTTCAGTGCTACGACGAATTTCAACGACGTTTAACGTTCCGTTTCTTCGGTGAGTGGTGGTGCTATCTACCTGCATATATGTACACATAAGTATATATGTATGTATATACACACCTCTGTACCTCTGCCCCAGCTAATTGTAATTGTTTTGTGTGATCGACAAGAAAAACGCCGCCATGCATTCGGCGATCAGTACACTGTAATATGTACTTGTCTTTGGAAAAATAAGCGTGGAGCACATACATGCGTAAGAAAATGCATTTTTGGGCCCCGAGAAGTGAATACACAATTTAAAAAAAAAAGTGTTTAGATGAAGTTCTAATTTGTAATACCTGTCATATCTTGTAATAAAACAACAGCGGCCAATAATCGGTCGCAATTGATTAACGTCCGTAAAAGTCCGAAATCGAAATCTGGATCGAAGGTATAGTACATACGTAGTATGTATGTATGTATGTATGTAGTATAATTCAAAGTAAATAACTAAAGTGGAAAGAAACAATAAATGAATGTGAAATTTTAAATGTGTTGGAAATGAAATATGTAGATTCATTAGGGTGGTTCCTAAATACACAGGAAAATCTACTTTTTAGCTTTTTCTTGCTGTCACCTCATAGAATTATAGAAAATGGAGAATAAACTGAGATATCTCAACGAAATTTCGTATGTAGGGTTGCCCTTTGTCCAAGGTAGGTTGGTATTGAAAATGGGCGAAATTGGACTTTAACCACGCCCACTTTCCATATACCTAAAAGTATTTTCGAAAAATTTTCCGTGCGCCAGTAAATGTTGGATGCAAATTGTTGAAAATTATTGTGTGAAGTAGAATTTTGGTAAAAAATATTATTATGAATTTTTTGGAAAATGGGCGTGACCCCGCCCACATATGATGAAATGCTGTATCTCAGTAGACCATTCACCAATACTTACCAAACTAGGTACGACCCTTGCCTAGGGTCTAGCTAAGAAATCTGTTGAAAATCTTTGAAATCGGGCAATGCCAATGCGCGTCTAGTTATCATATAACGATAATTTACAGAAACACGAAAACTGCGTAAATTCACTTAAAATCGATGATTGCGATAATAAATTAAATTTTTGGATAATGGGCATGGCGACGCCCACTTATGACCACAAATGTGTAACTCGGTAACCGATTTATCAATTTCTACCAAACTCGGTGCACTTAATAACCTTGGAACGGAAAATCAATTCGTTGAAAATATATATATATATAATATATCTAACGGTAAATTTGAGAAATACGGAAACTGATATTTCAATAACCGAGGACGCTAATTGACTCCAAGTTAATACTTACAACAATCTCTTAACAATAAATAAAAGCACAAACAGACGGCAGCGTTGATCCGGATCAACTCGGGAATTAACTGCAGTTGATCCGGATTAAGTCCGAGTTAGTTTTATAATACTTTATAATAGTTTTATAATACTTTATAATAATAGACTTCTCGTTGATTTTTTGAAATTTTTTGTTCACCCATTTTCTCCAAATACAAAGTTAGTTCGATTTTTTTTGTATGGAGAAAATCAGCAACACCTTCCACAAAAAAAAGGTGCCAAAAATCAACGGTAAGTCCTAGCTACCTAAAATTTGCACTTCGTTTAATAAAATTGAATGGGCTACAAAGCTGCATATTTAGAATACTTTAAAAAAAATCTAATTAAAAGCTGTCGAATTTTGATAATTTTCGTACAAAGTTTGAAATTTTTACTAACGTGGTTTTTGTTAGATAACGAGCTACACTTTAATAAAAAACTAATAAACATTAAAATAAAGGAAAATGCTAAAATGTCTATTCCGTATTTATATTTTTGTCACTGTATGTGTGGTACGATTTTCCTTGAACTAATCGCTGAATTCCTAATCTTTCGGGTTCTTTTCACTGGATTGTTAAATTATTTACAAATGAGTGAATAGAATCTTGGATTAGTATTGCTTCTGTGATGTTATTTAGTTATTTTTTTAAGTTTTTCTTTTATCATTTTTAAAAATGTATTAAACGCATTTGTTCTTGAATGAATTTATATTGAGGTCGTTTTTTTATGGAATCGGCATCGGCATCGGCCAAAAATTCTTCTCTTCTACTTCTGGTAGATCCCAACTAGTGGAAGCCTGTAGGAGAGAACTGGCCTATATCTCTGATCAAAACGAAATTACCCTAATATGGTTCCTATGACACAGGGACATTTACGGAAACGTGGCAGTGGACGAACTAGCAAGGTGCGGCTCCAGACTGAATGTGTCACACGCGGTGGACAAGTCCAATTTTCAAATTTGAAAAAGGACGGATCCAATATGGCAGACGTATTTTTAAAACTTCCTTGCATTCACTTGCAACTTGTTACTTGCGGGGTTTTGGGGTCGCTGGTTACGAATCTGAAGTCCGATATGCAAAATTAAAAATGTCGGATCCAATATTGCGGCCAAAAAATATTAAAAGCATTTAGCTTCGCTTAAAACTTTACAGGCGGGGCGAATCTGAAATCAGATTTTAAAAACTCAAAACTTCGGATCAATACTGGACCTTCCATATATCATTCGACAGTTAAATTCGAACGTACGTACATGGCGTATGAGTAACATTATCATCCCTACTGAGTAACTCATACGCCATGTACCGCCGTTTACCTTGTACATTGATTTTAACTTTCCTGTGATAATTGAACTTATTAATTAATTATTTTGAGAATTCTCCGCAAATTTATGTATGTACGAATGTCTCTCCTTGCTGCTATAAAAGTGGCAAAGGGTGAGGTCTCCTTGAATTATTTAGAGAGCCTTTAGAACTCTTCCGGAAACAAGCTTATTCCATACACTCATACGAATTCTATTAGTCTGTTGGTGCGGGACAAAACTTTCCATTTCCATGGAATGCTCGATCTACATGTAAGTCCTGTTCTGAAAGCAAAACAATCTACCTCTTTGGGTCAAGTGCGGAATATACGAGTATTTTCTCAATTCCCAGTTTTGATTTTTTTTTTTTTCATTTCATGTTAAATATTTGGAAATCTATTTGCTATTTGCAGTTTCTACGTCCACTTGGGAGCAGTAATCTTAAAGTAAGAAACGAAAATGATGATGCAAAATTCAGTGACGAAACGTAAAACGTTGATCTTCGCCTTCTTCGGCATAGCTTTAGGACTTTGCATTGGCACCGTTCTCAAAAATTATCGCGCACTTGAGATCGTCAAACGTTGCAGCATGAAACCGAGTAGTCAGCAGTCACCTTTCGAAATCATTGGCATGAATCCGGAGGAGGAAACGATAAGAACCTCTCAGCGAAATCTTGTATTCGTCGGGATTATGACAGCGAAGAATTTCATCGATGGGCGTGCTCGAGCCGTTTACGATACTTGGGGTAAAGAAGTACCTGGTCGTATAGCGTTCTTCAGTTCGGAAGGCTCTTACTCGAAGGAGTTGCCGGTAATAGGTTTAAAGAACGTTGACGATCGCTATCCGCCACAAAAGAAATCATTTATGATGCTCTATTATATGTATGAACACTATATTGACAAATTTGAATGGTTCATACGCGCCGATGATGACGTCTACATCGAACCAGAGAAACTGGAACGCTTTTTACGTTCGATCGACAGTTCCAAGCCGCAATTCATAGGTGCCCATTTTACTCGTATAGAAGAAGGTGCCGAGCCTGACTTACGAATTCCTAATATTTATAGGTCAAGCTGGTAAGGGCAATAGTGAAGAGTTTGGCCTACTATCGCTGGAGTTTGATGAAAATTTTTGCATGGGCGGACCTGGTGTAATATTGAGTAGCGAGACCCTGCGCAGGGGTGAGTTCTGCATTCTTAAACTAGCAGTTTAAGTTACAAAGTGAATGGTGTACGATATATTGACCTTATATGTAGTTGCTCCGCACATACCTACTTGCTTGAAGAATCTGTATAGCACACATGAAGACGTGGAGGTGGGACGTTGCGTGCAAAAATTTGCTGGCATACCGTGTACCTGGAATTATGAGGTAATATTTAGTAATGTACTTAACTCGAATGCGTGCCACGGAACTTTTGATTGTAATACTAAAAGGCTCAAACTGGGACTAAATACATACATATGTATGTATGTTCATTGGTTTTAAAAAATTCAAAAAAGAAAACCATCCTTTCGTCCAAATGATTGTATTTTTATATTTTCTATACAATAACTTTGTCTTTGTTCATTTTGTTTTCCAGATGCAATATATTCTGAGACATAACTCAAGCGGTCCATACGCATTCACTGGTAAATTAAAACGTAAGGAAATACACAACGCTATCTCTCTTCATCCGATCAAGCAATCACCGCTGATGTATCGCCTGCATTCCTTCGTACAGGTGGTCTTGAACTTAGGAGACTTAGAGAATTGGCTAGTTCTGTAACGAATATTTGCTCATTTTAGGGCCTTAAAGCAGAGGAAATACGGCAAGAGTCACTCGAGTTACATCGAGATATTAAGCGCATGGCTAGTTTTTTGGAAATACCGGACGATAGCAAGTATTTGGTACCTGGCATTGAGTTAATACCCGAAAAGACTAACAGCGATCAGCACTACGAAGATCATAACATTTTAGGTGAGACCCCATCCACACATACATAATTAAAAAAAGAAGGCAAATGCATAATACTTGCCCTTGCATAGGCATTGCTCCGGATCTGAAGAAATCGAGGCCTTCGTCAACAGCTGATCTCCTCGAATGGTCGTTCATTGCTCGAAGTCTCTACTCCAGTGAAAATGCGAACCCAAAGCACAAAATCGATTCGGCGTTGCGCGAGGGGCTCGAAGACGTTATCACAGAAGTTATGGAGAATATAAATAATTATTCCCGACAAAGGGGTCGCGTTATTGAATTTCGGGAACTACTCTACGGCTACAATCGATTGAATCCTCTGCATGGACAAGATTTAATACTCGATCTCTTGTTGATCTATAAACGGTATCGAGGCAAAAAGATGACTGTACCAGTGCGTCGTCATTTGTATGTGCAACGCGCTTTCACTGGTACTTTTGTGAAGGAATTCAACGAGGACTTCTACAACTACACGCTACAAACAAGTGGGTGAAAAATATTTGTGGATCGAATAAATATGTATATTTTAGAGTTATGACAAGTATAGTATTTATAAAATAGTAAGTATACTCTATAAATTGACGAACCTATGTTAATAGCCTGGGCTCGTTTGAGATCTCAGTGGTTAAGGTTTCTCTATTGGGCGATATTTAGGTGACATATGAAATGTATTCATAAATATGTACATATGTACAATAAAAATTTAAACATTGCCCAATTTAATGTTGAATAGCCACACATTAGCTTTATATACTTATGCTTATGGTTACATTATATTTTCAGGCTATCTCAACCACATGCTGAGCTCAGGAATCGAACGATTTTCAAAACATTTTACACTGCCCGGTTTGCCAGCCTCTACTGAAACGGCGAAAATCGTATTTATCCTACCCATCGCCGGGCGTTATGCCACATTCCAGCGTTTTTTGACCACCTATGAACGTATAGCAATAGAACAGGATACGAATTGCGATTTACTGGTGGTCGTCTTCGGCAACAGCACCAGTGTTCAAGCACACTTACAACTCTTGCTGGATTTGCGTCAGCGTCACATTTACGAGCACATAAACTACATACAACGGAATGAAGAATTTTCGCGTGGTGTGGCCTTAGATGTGGCCGCACGTTCATCTTATATACAAGCCGATGACATAATGCTCTTCATCGACGTAGATATGGTATTTCAATTGGAAACATTGCAGCGCATCAGAATCAATACGGTTCAAGGGCGACAAGTATATTTGCCAATCGTGTTTAGCCAGTATGACCCGAAGAGACGTTGGACAGGCCCAAATGTTGAGAATGCATTTACAGCACCTGACGAAATTACCAATGAATCTGGCTACTTTCGTCAATTTGGATATGGCATTTGCGCAATCTATAAATCGGACATCCTCGATGAGGACATAAATGGATTTGATAAAGATATCAGCGGATGGGGATTAGAGGATGTAAAATTCTTAGATAAAATCGTTAAGGTTGGTAACCGCCGAAACGATTTCCTAGTCAATACTGCCGAGGTTCCACCCCAATACAATGAGGCAGCGAAAAAAATGAGGCAACTCAGTATATTCCGCGCCCCAGATCCGACATTAGTGCACATATTTCATGATATTAGTTGCGATGTCAAACTTGATGGCCCGCAATATAATATGTGTCTAGGGACGAAAGCAAACTCGCTGGGTAGCACGCAATTTATGGAGCAATTATTTTATAGCAATAGGGAGAATATAGATTTCATTTTAGAATTGAATCGCAGAAAGGAGCAAAGCTGAGGTGACATGGAAACAGTCAAAAATTTAGAAATACTTAAAAAAAAATTTTTTTAGGCACCCGTTAAAAAAACTTAATCGCGTTTTTAGCTATAACTTTCTTTTTCGATGTCAGATTTTTTAAATCTTTATGTCGCCAAAAAGGTCTCGCTAAGAACTACATATAATTATCCCCTAAATGATTTGGCCTTTAAAACCGTTTTTATTTATACCTTCACTAATTTGTGAATTACTATCCCTAGTTGTTTACGTCAATAACTATAAGGTCAAGATGCAGGGACAGTCGTCGAGAGTTCTAGCTTTAATTTAAGCCTAAGTGGAAGGTTCCATCACCTTTTATTTTTTTTTTTCTAGAGCTTCCCAACTATAACACCGAGTTTTTTTTAATACCGTTAATATGGGAAGTGGGCGCTTTTGTGGACGGATTTTGTTTATATTAACACCTTCTACTAATTTTCACTAAAGAAGCTTGTGTTCCAAATTGAAGCGTCTAGAATTTCTCCCACTGTGCGGCGATTGTATTTTTATGAGAAGCTGTTCTTCATGGCAGAAATATACTCGGGAGTTTGTCATTGTCTGCCGAGGGGCGACCGCTATTAGATAAAGTTTTTCTTTTCTTTTGATCCCTGACCAGCGGGATGGTGGAGCTTACTTTTACCACTATTACATGCCGATTTGTTGGTAACTTGTTCTTTAATAGATTCTTCGGTTCAGAAAGCATTTTTTACAGCTACGATCGGTTTTACCGAAAATTTCTTACCTTCCAGAAAATAATTTTTTTGGTATTAAATATTTGTTTTATTACTATTCGAAGTTTTTTCCCAACTGCGTTATAATCGGCCAAGTGTACCAACATTTTTCAATGGTCGAGTTATTTCCATACAAAATGCGTTAATTTAGATCATGAAAAGTTAGATAAAAATAAATAATAAAGTCGTCATCACTTTTAAAGAGAGTACAAAAATAAAAAAACTTGGGATAATATTTCCAAAACTAGTGAAGGTATAAATTAAAACGGTTTTAAGGCCAAAACATTTTAAGGGGCAATTAAAGTCCCGAGTGCGACCTTTTCGGCGACATAAAGATTTTCAACATCAGACATCGAATAAGAAAGTTAAAAGCCAAAAACGTGATTTAGATGGTTTTAACGGGAGCCTAAACAAATTTTTGTTTACTCCCAAAGTGTTTTCTCGAAATAAGTGTTCAAATAAAACTGGCACTAACTTTTTTTCGTGATACGCCTTAATTGTGTACATACGCCACTGGAAGACCTTTTAAAACGTCCCTATGGTTATTAGTTATCAATGACAATTACAGACTTTATAAGCATAAAATCCATAGAAAGCTTTAAAAAGTTAAAAGCTGTTGTTTGCCAGTGCAGAATAGAACTATTAAAGTAAGTTTGCTCAAGTAGGCAAAAGATAAACATTGAAAGTATTAAACTTATTTTAAGATTGCAAAAACAAAACATGAAAATACACAAGATGTGGAATGTTTAAAAAACGTTTAATATCCAAATATTAGAGGTATTAAAATACATTTAACTCACTCTTCAGTCCGTTTAAGAGCCAACACTGTCAATGCTTGAAGCTTTCAAGCGCTTTCGGGAATAAGATTGCAATATATCGAAGATATTCGTATATTCGAATCTAAAAATTAAAAATGAACTAACTATTTTTAGTGTATTAACAAATGTATGACAAATTTACATATCGCTCGCTTAATAACACTGTGCACCAAATTTCATTGATGGGAATCGGACCAACAGTATTTGATTAAGCTGGTCAGATAATGAAAAAGTACTAAAGGATTTGAAAAAGTTCGTTACCATTTCTTTTTTATCTCAATTTGAAGTTGACGAAATAAGAACCCAATGAGAACTTATAATTCAAATTTTCCAAAGTTAACGGAGCGGGAAGAGGAGGAGATTTGAGGAGTTTTTGGTTCAACTGAAACATTGTTTTATATATATGTATGTATGTGTATATACAGTATTGGACATACCTATATATAGCAACCCCATTTCAAAGCGATATTGTTTCCCACTTATGTTTAATTATTTATTTTTAAGACTTTTCAATTCAAATACAGTTCATTCTCTAACAAAACTCATATAAACCCAAGTTTTAAACTTTTTAAAAGACCGCTACAATAAGTGCAACAAATTTTCACATAAATTTCAAACTTTTTTCTCAGAAGTTCTAGAATTTTTTTGAGTACACGGTTTTATAGCGCATTCAATTTTAGTCTAATAATGTGCAAGTTTCAAGTTGCTAAAAATTACCGTTGATTTTTTTTGTATCATTTGCCTCCATATAACGAATAAACACAATTTATTTTATATTGGCAGAAACCCGCAACGCCTTAGGCGCCTGCGTGTTCGGAGGAAAAGGAGTGAGAACCACGGATGTTAATTCTAAGCCAGAGGAAAGCTGGATCTTTTCAACTTCCAGATCGTTTATCATTATGGTGAACTGTCCATTTATGGAGCAATTTTTCATTTTCTGTTGAAAAAAGACAAAAAAAAAAATAAATGGAAAGATAATGATAAACGATCTTCGTGTCTTAAGTCTTTCGTTAACTTTATTCGCAAAATTATCTTTCAGTTCGATTTTGAGCTATGAGATAATTCAGAGAACATTTGTTCCTTTTTCTTTCTCTGTAAGAAAGTTCCTGGGACTTTAGCTCCCAAATTGTTCTTCGAGTGAAAGTTCCTTAGAATTTTGTTCCCGTTTTTTTCTTTGCCAAAACGTTCAGGAGAAATTTGTTTGCATTTTGTTCTCTTAGAAATATTCCCGAAAGTATTGTTCGCATTTTGTTCTCTCTGGGAACGTTCTACAGGGTTTTGTTCTAATATAATTCCCAATGAGAACGTTCTCGTCAGTTTTGTTCTTATTTTGGTTTTGGTTTTGATGCGTTCTTGGGAACAAAACGACGAGAACGACATTTAGTTTCGAGCATACACTTTGTTCTCGGTCCCTGTTTTAAAATATTTTAATATTTAATATTCTTTAAAATATACATGCATACATACATATGTGCATATGCATTTACAAAAATTAGAAGTTTGAGTTCAGAAACTAATGTTTTAATTTATATTTCTTGTCTGCGTCTACTCAGGCTAGCGCATAGGTGTACATTCTAGACATAAAAAAAAAATTTAGTAAAAAAAATTGTCTCACTGAAAAATATTTAACCTCACCAAAAAGATTATACAAGAAGCTTTATGTTGCGTTACCCGGGTGTTTTTCGTTTAACCGGCATCAACATATGTATGTATATTACCCGGGTACCCGGGCAAATCGGGTAATACCCGGCTATGATATGAAATTTTCGAATTTCTGAATTCAGGAAATCCCGTTTTATTGCTAAATATGGGTATTTGGCTGGCAAATTAGAAGGTCACATGTGTTTAAAAAATAGTTCGTGTACGGAACGTTTTGATTTTTACTGAGCTCCAAAAGAAAAAGCAGACCTCTTAGATTGTCGGAATGAAGAAACAAGTGTAACCAGGAAGAAGAAGCAGAAAAAAACTACTGATTTCTTTTGAGTAGGTACCTAACGCGTTTTGATTCTTGTGAATGTAAGAAAAATTTCAGAGTTGTGAAGAATTCATTAATTTTTTTATTGTATTAATGGTACTTATAGCGCAATGTTAATGTAAAAAACGAATGCATTGATTTTTGAAATTTAATGCAAATTAAAAATTTCAATGCATTAATTCTGAAAAATATAATGCTAATGAAAATTGTTTTATTAACTTATCCAAACTAATCCTAATGAAAAAATTTTAATGCTTAATTTTTAATAATTTTGTTCGTTTGCATTAAATTTATTTTCTAGTAAAATATAAATGACCTCTTTTGGAATGACTTCGAATAATTACTAATAGTTTATTCAGCTTCATTCTATTATGTTTATTTGAAGACAAATTCTTGTAAACATTGTTAGATGTTTTATCCAAATAAAAGCAATGTGCGCCTTTGGAGATTTTTATGTAGATTTCCAACCTTAACTTTCGCCACTGTCTTTTTTGACCTCGAAAATTCAACCCTCAACGTCAATAAAGAATTTTTACTTCAAAGCAAAATTGTTTTATGGGTTTTAGTGCTTTTTAGCACTTTTAATGCAATAAATTATTGCAATAGCATTCATTTAAAATTTTTGTTGTTAATGCAAATAAAATGCATTAGCATTATTTGTTCGGGATTAATGCATTTAAATTTTCATTTACATTAAATTTCAATAATTGATGCAATAATTTTTTACATTAATATTTAAATACTATGCATTAACAAATTAATGCATTTTTCTCTCTGATAACTCCGATGAATTTTATTCAAAGGATTTCGGTTTCAAATTAAAATTTAAAATTTGTTTAATAAATTTTGTTTCTTGAATGCAAATATCCAATTTAAAACGCATAGTCGGGATAAAATGGGGATAATTTTTGCTATAATTTGGACCCTCGTAAAAGTGAACACATTCATAAATGTGAACTCGCTTGGCTTTAATTAATTCACAATACCGATATAGATGGACTGTGACAAAAAAATAGTGACAGGAAAGTTGCAAAACATAAGGGGTCTTCATCTAAAGTGATAAAGGGATAAATTGCTTAAATTTATCAGTTTATCCGCATTCTTTCATGAACGCACCTTGGTAAATAATTGCATAAAATTGTTTATTATTTAACTCATATGGCTAGTTACGGTGTTATTCTTACCTCGTCCATTGTGTTCATTTGCTTTTTATGTGTTCGTAGCAAAAGCGATCACCTGGTAACATGTCAATTATACATTTATCCGCCAAAGTTGTTTGATAAAGTGATAAACTTTGGTTAAATAGATTTCCATACAAAGTTGGACGGTTCATTTATGTAAATGGTAAATTTATAGTTTTATCAAGTTTATCAACAGTTTATCACTTTTGAGGAAGAGTCCTACTAATCTTTTACCGAGTGAACTAAGAGCATTATTCATTTATTTGGCATCACTGACTATTTTTTTTGAATGGTATTAAATTCTAATATCAAACCACACTAATCAGATTTTGGTCTTAAATAACCTGTCAGAAATTTAGATCTGACTTCGGCACTTTTTTTGGCGTTTTTTTACTTAAAATATTCATAATAAAATGCGGACCGGAAGTATAAAAGTAAGTACCTAAGATTACTAAAAAGCTTTAATATTTCTAACACTACTATTTACCGTATGTGAGTTTGTCAAAATTTTATAGGAGAGAAGTAAAACTTGATTATTTCAAAACGGTTTCATCTTTTTTCCTTAATTATCTCTTCTTTTATCCGATATTACGATATGTGTTTTGATGAGAATTATTTAAAAGGTTATTTACAGAGAATCGGTTTTGCTGAACTTATGGAGTTTTTAAAGAGTGAATATGCTGACTTCTTTTTAACTGCAATTTTCATAGCGTATAACTTGTTTTTAACCTTTTTTTAAAAACGAATTTTGCTTCGCTTTTTACGATCATCTGTTCACACTGGTGATTATCAAAAGGAAATAAGTAAACAAATAGCTCGGTTGCTGGAAGAACGCCGTAACTCAATGCTAGGGGGACGGCTTTATAGTTTTTAGTCAGGTTCTTGCCCTTCAACGAGAGCATAAAGCTGGCATCAAAGGTGTATTACTCTGGTCAGTGATTATTTTGTAGTTTTAGTTGCTAAGCAAAGTGGAGAAGAGTAAAATTGTTCTAAAAACTAAGTATCTTCTTATACAGACGCAACAATAGCAATGGCAACAATTTCCGTATAAATATGTGGTCAAAATTTTTGTCTTAAACGTTACAGTCGCACTTACCAATGTATATGTTTTCTGTTCATATTTCTGAAACGTCGAGTAAAAACAGAATGTTTTCCAATGTTATTGTGGCTTGTTAACATTTTATTTTTAATATTTTTATTGAGCTTTGTACCACGATTGTTTATTAGG